AATTTCTTCCCTAGAGATCTTCAATGATCACACTCCCACATCAATCATTAATCAAGGAAGTGCCGCACAGGCTTCCATACGAGCTAATCCCAATTGAGAGTCCCTTCCAAAATGACTCTAGCTTGGTTCAATTTGACATAAATCTAACCAGGACGTAAATATAATATTGGTAGATGTAAATATTGGTATAAATAATAAAACAATAGATTTAATAAATAAATGGATAAAAACAAGTATGGTACTAGTACTTAAGTATAAAAAGAATTTATCTGAATGACATGAAAGCATTCGTGAGGGTTCAGAAGTGGTGTTTAGTCTTAGGTGTCCTCAGGTACATGTGTTACATGCTTTGTCCCCAGCTTGGCGCTTTTGGAAGCTGGAGCCTTTGAGGGGTGGGACCCTGGAAAGCATTCCGGTCATTGAGGGCGTGCCTTTTGCAGGGGACGCTGTTCCTGCAAAAAAGGACACACCAGCCTGTTCCTCTTTTCTTTTGCTTTCTGAACTTCAGGTGAGCAATTTTGCCTGTCCGTTCAGATCCAAGCAGAAACGCCAACAGATCATGAACAGAAAGCCCCAAAGCAGTGAGCCGAAATCAACTTTTTTCTTTGTAAGTTGCTTGTCTCAGGTACTTGGTGCAATCAAATAGACCACAGGACCTTCGGGCATAAGCAAGGGGGTGCGGTCCCTGACACTGCCACAAGAGGGCTCTCTAGCAAAATGAGTCATGATTTAGAATTTGCCTCGCCTTTGCGTCCTGCGGTCCAAAACTTCCGCGTGGCATAAGCCTTTGACAAAGAAGACGGCACAACCTAGAGCAACGAGAGAGGGATGGTCTCCCTGCTGCAGCCCTAGAAGGGTCAGGACCCACCATGATACGCCTGCCTGTGCTGGGATTAAATGAGTGCGCCCCCATCGCCCGGCCCTGGTAGTAGTGCTTCTACTGCTGATAATTGCTTGATTTGGGGCTAAATTTGACTGCTCACCGTCTTTGCTTTGAATGGAGACACTTGCAGTGTTTCACCAAGGACGGCGAAGCTGCCTGACCACACACCCAGAAACGAAACAAAAGGAAACTTTCTTTCCAACGCTCCTTCCTCTGGAGGAAATTACGAGAGAGAAAGTGTCAAACTAGCAACAGAGGGGATGGCGATGAGTGCCGAGTGTCTGCTCAGCGGCTGTCATCTAGCTCGGTGACAGTTTAGCATAGTGGTTCCTACTGACCGACTGGAACCCAGGGCCGAGGGCGTGGGGCTAGGTGATGGAACGGCTCCAGTTGGCTTCAAACTTGCTGGTATGGGTGGGAATGACCTTGAACTTCCGATCTTCTGGCCTCTACCTCTTAAGTGCTGAGGTTATTGGGTGCACCCCGTGCCTAGCCTTTTAGCGACTAGCGAGCTTGCTTATCAAAGTGACGCTCTTACTGCAGCGCTTGAGGACTTGACTCCCATCCCCGTGAGCGTCAGGTCACCTTCAGGTCCTCCATGCACACAGGGCACAATCACAATACAGAAGAAAGTAACAATAAAAATCCTTAAAAGATGTATGATAGCTAGATTGCTTGTCTGGCTTAGACATTTTTTTCTTCAGGTGCTGGGTGTGACGGTAAGAGCCTTTAATCCTGGTGCTCAGGAGGCAGAGGCAGGCGGATCTCTGAGTTTGAGGCCAGCTTCTTCCATATAGTGAGTTCCAGGACAGCCATGGATGCAAAGGGAAATTCTGACACACAAGAGCATTTTCCCCTGTGTTTGTGAACTCACTTTACATTCTTTTTTTTTTTAATTTTATTTTTTTCTTATCAGTTACATTTTATTAACTCTGTATCCCAGCCGTGTCCCGATCCCTCATTCCCTCCCAGTCCCTCCCTCATCTCCACCGTGCCCCTTGCCAAGTCCACTGATAGGGTGGACCTCCTCCCCATTCATCTGATCCTGTTTTATCAGGTATCTTCAGGACTGGCTGCAAAGCTCTCCTCTGTGGCCTAACAGGACTGCTCCTCCCTTGGGGGGTGGGGAGGCCAAAGAGCCAGTCATTGAGTTCCTGTTAGAAATAGTCCTTGTTCCCCTCACTATGGGAAACCAATTGGTTACTGAGCTACCACAGGCTACATCTGAGCAGAGGTTCTAGGTTACATTCATACATGGTCCTTGGTTGCATGTCAGTCTCAGAAAAGACCCTGGGCCCAGATATATTTGGTCCTTGTGGAGCTCCTATTCTTTCCTCATCAGACTAACTCCCCTTCTTTCTTATGATTCCCTGTACTCTGCCAAAGGTTTGGTCATGAGTCTTTGCTTTGAAAACACTGCTAGTTAGAGTCTTTCAAATGCGCTCAGTAGACTCCTGTCAATGTTCAATGCGCATCCCATCTGTCTTTCAAAATGAGGATTGATACTCTTACCCCATGTCCGCTCTCTTGATTATCTTTTTTACGTGTATAGATTTCATTATGTTTATCATATCTTATAGGTCTATATAAGTGAGTATATACCGTGTTTGTCTTTCTCCTTCTGGGATATTTCACTTAGGATGATCTTTTCTAGATCCCACCATTTGCCTGCAAATTCCATGATTTCCTTCTTTTTGATTGCTGAGTAGTATTCCATTGTGTAAAAATACCACAATTTCTGTACCCATTCCTCCGTTGATGGACATCTGGGTTGTTTCCAGGTTCTGGCTATTACAAATAAAGCTGCTATAAACATGGTTGAGCAAATATCCCTTTTGTGTACTTGAGCAAACTTTGGGTATATACCTAGCACTTCTCAAGGGCCTCCAGGTGTTTAAGGTCAAGGTTGACCTGGTGTCTTGTGAAAGTTTATTTCCTGGTTAATTGACAGCAATTTCTTACTATGTCCTCAATGGGGAAGTGGGCAAGAGAACTCTTTTATGAGGGCATTAATCCAGTTCCTGAAGTCTGTGCCCCGTCACCCCCTAAAGGCTCCACCTGGAAACACTGAACATCATTGTTGGCGATTGTCTCGAAACATCTGAACGGGGACATAGTCATCCTGTCCAAGCATCCTCCATTCTCACTGCCTCACCTAGAAATACTCCATGCTACCAGGAACTCCTTTCTGGATTGCTCTCTCTCTCTCTCCCTTTCTCCCCCTCTCCCCCCTCTCTCAGACACACACGCACACACACACACTCCTTCTCTCTTCTTGTCTCTTCTAGAGTCAACTGCTTTGACTTCCTTCCCTCTGCAAAAGGCAACCTTCATCTCCCTTCTTTTGGCTTCCCTCATCTTATAGCACAGGGGCCACTGCCGTCCTGGCCAGGATTCCTTGCCTTTTCCTTTTTATACATGCACAATCTTCTGAGCAGTCAGGCAGCATTGACTTTTCCCGACTGCCCTTCAAGTGGCATCCTTTAAATAAATATTTTAACATACTGAAGTTTCCCCCATCATGAAAACAAAGCAAAACACCAGCAAAGGCGAACCCAAGACACAAACCCCTCCTTCCGCAGCGTTTCCACCTCTATTACCAGGGCCTCTCTTCCTCTCCCCCTCCCCTCCAAAAGAACTGGCTATGTTTCATTCTCACCACCTCAAACATGACTCATGATCCTGCCATGCTGCCCATGCATATTTAACAGTGTAGATGGCATTTATGTTAATAAATATAGAAAATGTTCTTCAGTGACTGGACGAAACATCCACTCCAATGGGAGGGAGAACCAGGCTGAGAGACGTAACAGTCCTGAATGTGGTCTTGACCTTGTTTGACTCCAGGGCTTCAGAGAAATCCTAGGGGTGTTGGTGGAGGAGGGCTAAAGCTAGGAGGAAGTCTGGGCCATGGCTTTCAGCCCTAGCACTGCAGAAACTGACGGTGCTGGTCAGAAACCCTCACTTTAAAAACAGTGTCCTGAGAGCTTGTTTGGAGGTTCTAGCAGGGAGTACAGCTACTTGTGTTGACGCCTTCTTCGAGATGAAGCTGCAGCCATTTTTGTATTTAGCATATTCGGCTTCCATTTCGTTTGTAAGGTGATATCAAGTTAAAAAAAAAAAAAAACAACTTTTAAACTTGCTACATACCTGACAGTGACGACAACAACCACCAGGGGCCCCAGTTAACCTATACTAACAAACCCTGCCAGAGTCAAGCTGACCTTGTATTTCACTATGAGTCAATAGTGTCATAACTCATACGATGCTGTCTGCACACTTGGCTACTCTCTGGTTGCACTCTTGTTATCTGTACACCTGGTCGCACTCAGAATGTACTTTGGAAGACCCTCACTTACCTCACCTAGAACCAAACAGCTTAAAGGTTAGCTGATAATACTTTGTCTAGTTAGCCAAAAACGTAATATTGCTTTGATATAGCTAGCCAAAATGCGTTACTACCCTCCCTGTGTCTTTTATTCAGTTTGGTCTGGATAAAGACTGCCCAGGTAGATGTCATAGTTAGGCTCCCGAGTCCTTACTGTGGCCCTGATGGATCGGCTTGGAAAAGGTGTTCAAATTAGCCATCAATACTTAGCTGAGACCGTGTCTGAGTGGTTTGTGTGGTACCTCTCGGGCTCTAACTCTTGAATACCCTTCACCTAAACTCTATGCACACAGTTTCGTTAGGAACGCACATGGAGCGGTGAAGGAGGAAGGCCAGGCAGGCAGCGGTGGCACGCACATTTAATCCCAGCGCTTGGGAGGCAGAGGCAAGCCCATCCCTGTGAACTGGTGGCCAGCTTGGTCTGCGGAGCGGGTTTCAGGACACCCAGGGCTACAACAGAGAAAATAAGAAGAACAGTGTTTCATAAGTGCCAAGAAGGACTCTCGCTCTCCCAGCGAGGTGTTCCATCATCGACTGCCCAGAAGTAGAGTTTGAACTGGTGAGCAGACAGACAGGCGATGCCGCGGGAAAGAAACGACTAGACGTGGACCGAGGCTCCTGGACTACATCTCCCAGGAAGCCCCGCGCTGGCGTGCGGGCGCCCCCTGGAGGTGGCCAGTGGGAGGGCGCCGGCGGGACCGCTGGGACCTTCCCTGGAGCCTCCGTGAGCGCGGAAAGCCGCGGCAGCTGCGGGCTGCAGCGGCGTGGGAGTCCGGTGCGAGTGAACCACGGCGGGTGAGTCGGGGTGCGGGCCGCTCGGTCCTCTGTTTCTCAGCTGCCTTGTCTCAGGTCTGGGGCACCAGACGCGGGTGCAGGAGTCCCGGCTCGGGGACGCGGGGTGCCCCTCTGGGAAGACTGCTGCGGTCCCGGGTACCCGGGCGGCGGGCAGCGCAGGGACCGCGCTGCAGGTGTGGACGGCAGGTGGCCGGCTCTCCCCTCGAGCCCCGGGTTTGGCGCAGCAGCCGGGCACGGGGGCTGGGTGGCTCGGCCGGCTGTGGCCCTGGGGAGGTCCAGCCCCCGGGCCAGGTGCGCGCGCGCCGGCGGGACTCGGGGGTCCCCGGGCGGGTGTGCGACCACACAGCCGCTGAGACCCGGTCTTGCCCAGGCGGTCGGCCAAGGGCTGGGGCTGCGGGGCTGCAGGACGCCTAGGAGTGCGGGGAACTGTGCGGATGCTGGTGCGTGTGCCCGCGGTGCGCAGCCCAGCGTGAGCGCAACAGTGCCGCTCTCGCTTTCCTTCATGCCCTTGGAACAAAATTAGTTTCCTGTGCTTGTTTTCCTTTTTTCAACAAGTTTGACACTGAATAGCTTGGTTTGGTTTTTGTGGGAGCTGCATATGCCGGCACGCAAGTTTATATAATAAGCAGTATTACGCTTTGGGGGGAAAAAATCCCATGAAGGTGCTCTTTCTTGCCCTCTATCGGATGAATTATGTCGGACTGGTTGACACGGGTGTCCATTAGTGACTGCGGTGGCTGGAGGCGAGAGATAAAGTGGTTTTTTTTGAGTGAAGTCACGACCGAACCCCTTTGATCAGTTTTTGGCTTCCTAAGATTTGGTTATCTGGTTTCAAACACTGTTATTTGGACGCTTGGGGCGGAGACGGAGGGTGGGGACGGGGGATCATCAAAGCTAATACTCCAAGGAAAACGGCTTTGCATGATTAACTCAAAGCCGTCAAGTTTTGTTTTTTGATTGTTTTGAGAGAGGGTCGTGCTAACTGTCTCTGGCTGGCCGGAGCCGCCACACGCGCGGTTATTTTGTTTTCTCTAAGTGTGCTCTGTTCATACCTGTTCCCTCGGAGTTTGAAAGTCGGGGAGAGCTGCGTCCCCAGCCCTCACGCTTTTCACGGCGTGCATTGATAGGACCCTGTAGGTTCCCTTCTTTAAAATCTCTGACACATTGTTATTTGGCTGGATTTTCTCGCTAGAATCCTATAATACTTGATGAAATTTTGGAGCTATGTACGGTGGCTCATGCCTGTAATGTAACCCCAGCACTCCAGGCTGAGGAGAGGGCATGAGTTGGAGGCCAGCCTGTGGCTACAGGGCAAGATCCTGCCTCAAAAAAACGACAATAACAACAAAACGGCAACCGAAGACAAACAAGCAGAAAAACCCAGGCCTCCCCGACAACAGCATCAAAACAGTACCTAAAATGCACGTTTGGTTTGTTTGGTAGAGCCAAACACTAGCATTTTCTTTCGAGCTGCTGTGAAGTTTTCCTTCTCCCTGTAATTAGGCCTGTGCTGTTTATACTGATCCGTTCCGTGATGTCTGGCAGAAACTGCCTGCAGACTGCCGTGGCTGCTGCTGGCGTGTTCTAGGAAGCTGACCCAGCATCCAAATACCTGATGCTTGGGCCCATGACCACTGACTGTTCGCAGCTGGCTTTCATAATTTTCTTACGGGTGTATATGCACTTTGATCATGCCCTACCCTTTTCTCTTTTTTTTTCATTCACCAGCCAAAAACGTATGATCTTTAATTTTCACGAAACAAGAAAATAGGTTTAAAACTTTATATGATGCTCATAGTCTAAGCCTTTCACAGAGATTAGGATAACACAAACTTATCATATGAGATAAATAACATACAGAATGGAGAAAAAATGAATAAATTAAATTCAACTCAGTTATTATCCATCTCCCCAACTCATACCCAAACTTAAATGAAAGAAAATCTCAACCAATAAAAAAATTATTCATTTTAATAATTAGGTTTCACTAGTAGCATTTTTCTCATTATCACTGATTAAGGACTGGTAGGAACACAAAGTTGCAGATTTGTCCCAAAATGGTGCTTCCTCCTTAAATAGCCCTGATTATACTAATGTCATTTCAGTCCATATGTTATTACCCTTTTCTTTTTTTTAATTAACTTTTAATTACATAATTAATAAACTGTAATGTTTATTCACTTTGTATCCCAGATGTAGCCCCTCCTTCATTCCCTCCCAACCTCATCCTCCCTCCCTCTTCTCCTCTCATGCCCCTCCTCCAGTCCACTGATAGGGGAGGTCGTCCTCCCCTTCCCTCTGACTCTAGCCCATCAGGTCTCATCAAGACTGACTGCATTGTCCTTCTCTGTGGCCTGGTAAGGGTAAGGCTTCTTTTCTCTTTTTTTATTGGTCAGGCTTAGTTATGATTGCTTCTTTTCTGAATCCTTTCAGAGAATTGGATTTTGGACTTACTTAAGATCAACGCGACTGATCTGTACCTTCCTGTGTTACTAGTTTCTGTTACTAAACTTCATGATTCTTTCTGCTTATTAGAATTTATTGTGTTCACTCTCTGGTATATTTTTAATTGAAAGTGTGAACTCTTTATTAATCATTTGGCCGTTGTGCTATGCAGGTCCAAGATGTCCAGTTTTGTCATGTGACCTGAGTTGTATTTTTACCTTAACCCTTGGGATAGGTATTGCTGCTACTGGCGTGGTCTTCTGAGTTGGTGTTCATCACAGTGACAAGGCTGATGTTATCTACCTGTCTGTCATCTTCCACAGTCTCCATCCTTCTCCGTCACCGACCATCTCCTTGGGACCATTTTCCTTCTCCTTCAAGGACACTTTTTAAAATCTCATTCAGTCATGATAAGCTGTGTTGACAATATCTGAGAATACCTTTATTTTCTCTGCATTCTTGGATTTGGATTTTCCCATGTTTCTTTCTTAAACTAATTTTGGAGGGGTGAGTGTGTTGCCATTTTTTGTAGATGGGAGATTTGAGGATTTCTAGTCTGCCAGATTGCTAAAAGGAAAGTAGAGATAAACAGATACCATTTTGTAGTGTAATGAACTGGGAGTTTGGTGAGTAGCCATGGCTGTCCTGGACTTGCCTTGTAGACCAGGCTGCCTGGAACTCACAGAAATTCACCTGCCTCTGCCCCCCAGTCCTGGGATTAAAGGCGTGTGCCACCGCACCTGGGTTATATTGGGTACTGTTTTCAGACACCTGCTTTGCCAGCGTTTATTAACGCTGTTGCCCAACCAATCTCTAGCACGCAGCCATCTTGAAAACCGAAACAGGAAGCACATCAGCCCTCCCTGAGCCGACACAGCTGTTCCTCTGTGTGTCTGTGACTGGATTTTAGGTGCTCTGTGTGGTATTTCACGTGATACCTGGTTCTTAGGGATTATTTTATGTAGCATGATTTCCTAAAGATGCCGTGTTGAACCATGTGTCTGTCACAGAGTTCTTCCTTTTTAAGTCTCAATCATTTGTCATTCTGTGTATGCCATACTGTGCTTCTCTATTGTTCTATTCTCTTGTGAGTAGACGCGTGCTGCGTTCACGTTAGCACTGTAAATGACCACGGGTGCATACATATGACCTGACCTTCAATGACCTGTTTTCAATTCTTTTGAAAAATGAATATACATAGAAGCTGGAATTACTTTTTTTTTTTAAAGTTTTTGATAAAGTTTGTTCCTTTTACATTCCCATTAGCCACATAGTCCTCCCTCTCTCTTGATACAGCCGTCTTGACAGATAAATACTTTTGTCTCTATATAGACAGCTTTTGTCTTACATTTTATTTATTTCTTGTGTGTGTGTGTTTACTTTACGATTCATAACAGTAGCAAAATAACAGGTATGAAGTAGCAACGAAATAATTTTATGGTTTTCGGTCACCACAGCATGAAGATCTGTAAACAGTGGCAGCATTTGGAAGGTTGAGAACTGCTGGTGTGTGTGTGTGTGTGTGTGTGTGTGTGTGTGTGTGTGCATGCGTGTGTGCGTGTGTGCGCGCGCGCGCTCGGGCATACATGTGGCAATCAGCAGGCCACAGTCATGGTCAGTTACCTGCTTCTGTTATGTAGGTCCTGGAGATGTACCTCAGGGCAGCAGGGGCAGCAGGCTGTGGTAGGTGCCTTTCTGCACTGGGGCTTCTCACTGGCCTCTACTTTAATCCACCAATAGCTATTTTGACTTATGGATAAGTTGGGGCTTACGGTCTTTCATTTTTCCGTCGCTTATTCTTATTTATTGCCAGTCTCCAGCCCTTGTTCTCCCTGCCTGCTTTTTACTTGATTGAGGTTTTTGTTATTTGATTCATTTTGAGACTGAGTCTCACTATGTCAAGGAACTCACTGAGATCCGTAAGAACTGGGAATTAAAGTGCACACACCACTACGCCTGGCTGGTTTGAGTTTTAATTCCATCTTTATCTGACTCCAGACTTGAAAGCTAAATATATTTTTCACCTCTGTATATGGTTAGGCACCCATATATTTTGTGGCAACTGCTCGCTGAGATGCAAGCAGAGATGCATGCAAATTCTAAGTATGTAGTTCAGTGAATTTTAATAACCAGGACCAGCCCTCAAAATCAGAAGCAACTTAGCCTGTGCTCTAGAACCTTCTTCATTCCATCAGCATTTTGGGGTAAAGGAGGCATAGCTTTCTTCTGCACCTCAGCAGCCCGAGGAGCTCTAGAGTTTCAGGGCCCTACCTCAGGTCGAAATCAGCATTCGTGGCTCTGATACTGAAAAATAATTTCAGGATCAGCCCTGGGTAGTTTGTTAAAGATATTTTAACATAGGCTTAGGCATGAGAAATAAAGTCAGTCACACCCAGGTGTGGGTGGGGCTTCAGGGAGGAGAGAGCCCAGATCACTGTTTTTCCAAGTCATCCTGGGATTATGGTGGGTTTGAAGTTACTGTGCTGTCACCACATGGTTCCTGAGGGACACCTGACAGGATTGCAGTTTGATAAGGTTAAAATCTTGCCCGTAGG